GGTATGTGATCATTTGGTGAATCATTTATTCAAAAAGATCTTGTACCTAATTAGATTATCTGCTCTTCAGCTCTTCATCTGCTGACCTGAGTGCTAAATAACATTTAAGGAAACATAAGTAGGCATGTTGGTGCTACAAATCGGATGATTTTAAGTTCTTACTAAGAACCTATTCAAAACCTGTATGCCCGAAGTAGGTAAATTTTAAGGTATAATCATGCATGCTGTTGAAAGGTGTTACTGGTATTTAAGGTACCCTTCCTAACAGCATTAGATTCAGAATTTGGGGAAGTCTTTGTCTACAATAACAGCAAAGATAAATATACAGAGCCAGTATTTGTTCTGATAAGGAGAATGGGCATAAATAGTTCTGTACAGACAGTAAGGCAGGCAGTTGTAAATTAGATTCTTATTGCAGAGGACAAATACTGGCAAGATATTATAAGAGTATGTGGTGCTAGAAGTAATGTGAACCATTTCACAGATTTCCACTCATTTAAATCTCTCAGGGTACTGAATGAATTTTGCCAAAATCTCACTGAGCAGAAAAAAGCGTGTATCGATAAATATTTTTTTTTTTTATCTTTGTATTTCCTTTCTGTTTTGAAACCTTCCAGCTTTCATACATCTAGACTTCATCATAAAACCCATTTTTTTTTTTTACTCAGCTCTTATATCTCAAAGGGCTGGCATATATTTTATTCAGGACCAGCAGTGCCACACTAGTTTTTAGCAATTTACTCACTGAAGCTTAGGATGGCAAACCTGACCTTGCTGTGACATCTTAACACAGTGAGCACTGTCTTGTCCTGCTACTTGATGCTTGATTGTTAAACATACTCTCCTGTTTACCTGCTCTGGTACCAGCATGCACAATATAGTCAAACATGTACCACAAATAGAGATAGCACAATTACAAGAACATTGTATGGAGAGTCTGTACTCCACCCCCAGCAGGTCAGTCTACAATCTAGCGTTTTTTTTTTTTGCAATTGATTCTAAAAAAACATCTCCCTCACTCTCACGCATAGGTAATTTGAGGCAAATAATGAACTTCTGACATTTAAAACTAGCAATGCATGTTTTTTCCCTGCAATGTTGTTGTTTATTTGCATGACACTGGAGATGTGCCAGATGTTCTAAAAAGTCACAAAAAACACATCTTCCCTTCAGCTTTGTAAATAGCAGCAAATCCATTTAAACTCTTTGTCAAACCTCTTTCTTGAACTTGGTATTGGGCTCCTATACCAATCTTAGCTAGGGCCTGTAGGTATTCTTGTAGTAGAGACAATAAATAACACAACCCAAAGTATCTGGGAGTTCATGGATATGTAACTACTATGACACTGAGATCTGAAATAAGCTGCAGGCCTGCTGAGAATTCACAATCTCATCAGAAAACAGATAACACCAATGAGTTGGCCAATAAACTGTACATGACAGTCACAAACATTGCTTTTCTATTCACCAGTAGGTGAATATGGGTGAATGCCAATGGAAAAGTAAGTCTCTCAGCTTCAGTAATCTTCTCTCTCAAGCAATAGATAAAGACTTGCATACCCATAAAGACTGTTGCAAAGCTCCCTTGAGAAGATAGTAGTCCTGTTTTCAATGTAACTGACTACATGAGGCATCTGTGCCTGAAAGCCTTGTAAAACCCCATGCTATTCTTTATCACTAGCTTCCGGACCAAAAAGCAAAATCCAGGGGAGGGAAGCACAGCAACAGAAGCTCTCACGCCTCTTTTGTTTCTCTGCCTACCTTATGCAGCCACAGGGCTTCTCTAACTCAATACTCACCATGTCTTTGGATAACAGTCATGGAAGCATCCTGACGAGGATATGAGCTGTGGTCTTTCAGCTACGTAGAGGAAGGGTCAAAGAGCAAAGCTCAGCTCTCCAAGCATACTAGACACAATGACTAAAATAAGATTTTCTACTAAAATTGACATCTGGCTACAGGGATAAGGTGCAACCAAAATATTTGATAATTAGGCAGATGAATGTAAGGAAATGAAATGTGAGACTGGTGAATAAAGAGAAAAAGAATAGAAGTTGAGAAAGAAAGATCCATGTTTCCCTGCAGTTTCTTGCTCATAACAACATCCTTCTTGTTAAATCCCTTAAGTTAACCAACAGAAACAAATAGGTGCTGTGGCATCTTGCAAACAGGTCTCCTCGCATCTTGCAAGCAGCTCAAACAAGCACAGTTGTAAATTTCACCTGTTCACCCGATACAAATATTAACAGAAAATGCCAAAAATCCACTTTTAAACCTCCACTGGAGGAAGCATTTTCAAAGCTTTTCTTCCAATGTGGAAGAAATCTCAGCTGACCTAGTTTCCTACCCTGTTTGTTACCTCTTGGCTGTCTCATCTGAGGTCCACCTGCTGTCTCTCCATCTGCCAGCCTTTTTTTAGATCAGATGAACCTCCAGAGTTACACATTAAATGTCAGGCAGGCTTGAGAAAAGTTGTTTATGTCTGCTTTTAAGCAGATTGTATTTTCCATTAAAAATGCAGCACGGAGACACTAAAAACTCAGATCTCATTTGTTTTTGGTTAGTGTAATTCAAAAACAAGCCTGTTTACATGTAAACTGATGCTATTTGTTCAAAACTGTGGATATCCGTACAGAACGTAAATCAGTGGAAATACTCCCTTTGTTTTCAGGGAGTTAGGGAGCAGAACACTGCATTATCAATTCCACTGTGTACCATCAGTCTGACAAAAAGGTGCAGCACAATCACTACTCCTGGAAATCCCCAAAAGTTTCAAGGATTATCTCCCTAAAAAGCATAGAAAGAATGATGGGAAATTCATCACATGAGCATGCGTTGCTGTGCGGTGCTAAACTTGTGCTGGCTCTACGGACGTTGTAAAGCCTCCACGTTAAGGCAACAGGAAGCTTCAACGTACGTTGCATCACGTCTTAGAGGTTACTAAGAATTTAAGATTTTTAACATTTTATGAGTAGGCAGAATCCTCTACCTATCTTCTATTTTCCTCTTGGATGAATTTCAGCCATCAGATGCACAGCCCCGCATGCTCGAGTCTCCCAGTTCTTGGAGAGAGTTGTCTCCCCCTGATCCTCATGGAGCTGATGGACCCTCAATCTGTGTCAGATGATTCTCTGCAAGAACCACAAATTCTAGAGTGCCCAAGATATGAAACCAAGGATGAAGTTCTTGAAGAGATGCAGACATAACACTTCCTGAGTTTAAGACACCGTAAATTACCTTTTCTACAGCTATCTTGAGGAAATAAAGAGAAGTCACAGTGGGGAGAAGAGAGCATTTCTTGCCCTATTCCTCATGCAAATATAATAACTTGAATGTCATTATAACAAAAGCACGTAGCACAAGTATTAACACTATAATTTACAGTAATAAAAGCATTATTACAAGTGTTTAATTAGTAGCCATTATAAGACCAATTAAGGCTGTCAAAATAGAAAGGAAACAAAATGTGATTTTTCCCCTGGAGAACTGGGATATGGTGGGACTCATTGTTAACTCACAGACTGAGGACAGAAAACTGCTTTCAGTTAGAAATAAAATCTAGGCTCCTAGAGAAAAGTGAGCTGAGAGGTACGTTGCTCTCCAATAGACATTACTTAAGCCAATATCACAACACAGTAGAAGCATTTTTAGTACCCTTTAAAAATTTTGAATACAGAAATAGCTATTCAGTTTACCTTTAGCATCATTCTGACATTTGCAATCCACATGTCATCGTTAATTTCACTGCAGGAAATAAGACAAAAAAGGCATTTATTCTACCTGGAAAGGATGGCTGGACAGCCCTTAAGGAATCTAATTAGAACACAGCTTGTTACCAGAGCAGTGTATCACACTGCGCTACCATAGTTACCAGGATCCCATGCACCATCAGGGTCATCTGAGGGCATGTTGGCAAGAGGCATGAGAACTACACCAAATGCTTATGATACATTTTGGAGGAACAACTTGAAAACTCTGAATAACTTGCTGGTATTAGTCTATGAAAGAAAAGAGTCTCTACATGCTCAGAAAATTGTCATGTCTCAAGAATCAATTTATTCTTATTACTCCTTTTTAGAACATACTGCTTCCCAGATCTTATTTAAGAAGCATGTGACTTAACTGCAACATCTGAGCAACAAAGCAGTTTGACTCCCTAATACAGGAACAACACAGCAGTTGAGACCTGGGGAAGACTAATGTCAGAACTGTATTTTATATCTAGATGCTGTTTCCAGTGTCTGCTGTAGTACACCAGGCATCTGACCAATCATCAGGGTGGCAGCTCTGTTACTGCTTTTGGTGGCCAAGACTCTGCTAGCTCACTAGGGGAAAAAAAAAAACACCTGCATCACTGCAGCTCAGTGATGACTGCATCACTGAGCTTTTCTTGCCAATTCCTTCACATAGAAAGATCCTTTAACAATATTAATAATTACAGAAGCATGATCATACATTGTATGCCATCCTGCTATTTATTTACCATGGAAGGAAACAATAGACATTAAAATAGATTATAACAGTAAATACGTCTGTGTCAAGAAATTCTTTTGACACACTGTGTCAAGGACTGCAGACTGCAAACTGACAGTCGTTTGTTGCAGGTTGCCATGAAAAAGTTCTGCAGAAGAGCACAAAGCTTTAGTCTTCATTATGCACTTTAACTATTGCTGAAAATATCCACAAATTGTTTGGAAAGATCAAGGAGATGGTAACAGTTTTTAAACAAGAGTTTGATTGCAATTCTTTTGAAAAATAATTTTCCCTAGATAGTTTCTCTTGAGGCTTGAGGACAACAATGGAAATTGCAACACCAGTTTTCAAAGCATGTAAGGCCAGTCCTGATACTCACATTCTCCATTCTACTTTTAGTATAGAGCAGGCTTGTTTGCTTCATTTGTTCCCCCCCGTTCCCTCTCAGGAAGCCAGAAAACCTGAATCCTTCAATGCAAGCTCTTGGAGAGAAAATTAGCTGTTATAAATAATGACAAGCCTAGAAATTCATTTTTAACAGGTTACATTTTATTTGCTTCAGTTGAACACCATTATTTACAGACACAAGTTAATAAAACACATCACACAACAATAAGATTTCAACAGTTAATATTTATAGGTGCATAGTTCATGCTCAGTTACTTTTTTATATATATAATACATAACATTTACATAAAGCTTTCACAATAAGTCTTTTCTGCACAGAAATAATAGTCATAGGAAACAAATAAAAATCGTATCATAAACAATATCAAATTACTGACAGCCTATCAACAAAACATGTACAGAGTTAGAAATAAGCAGTAGACACTTAGGTGTTTTTATTTAGTATTTTGTTTTTAACTTTTAAAAGTGAAGCCACAATATCCACAGCACAACAATGACCCTGCCAACCAGCTTTCATTTCAGCAGGAGGGAAATGCTGAAACAAGGTGGATGCAGTCACAGATACTCCAATCATTGCTGATGGAAGACTTCAAAATACACTGTAAAAACTGTAAAAAAATTTTACGACTGGGCACATTGGAACTCAGCACTTGTACAGGATGGGATGTCTTTGTTAGTAGATTTCAGGAGATATAAAGGAAGAAAAGATTTTTCATGCTTCAGGTTCATAATCTTGATACTCTTCCTATGAAGGAGAGCAGAAATCAGTGCTACAATTTCAGACAAATATATCCTAACATGTATCTTAACTTTTACTGATTGTCCTAGTCACAATGGATGCAGCAAAAAAATAAGGATTTGTGTGTGATGAGAATCTCGTCTAGTATTTACTGTTTTGTTCCATTTTCCAGATACTCTATTTGACAAAGTGTGGCGTTAACAGGAGTATAAGCTTTTACAGTGGTTAACATACCATTCACAGTTATCACAAAGACTTACAGCAATGTATTTGTGACTAATTCCCAGCAGAGAAGGAAAAAAAAAAACCACAAAAAATAACCTGTTTGTAGTTTACCTACACTACTCTTTATCCTTTTTTAATTAATTAATTACTTTTTTTAAATCCCATTCATGTGGGTGGAAACAAGCTGCTACGTTTAAGCCGGAATCCAGCAAAACAATTGGACATGTTCTTCAATGACAAAGATCACAAATATTTGAGAGCATGCAACTGGGCTCTTCAGTCTGCTTACGATGAATTGAGTCTCTTTCTGAAGGATCAGGAGTGCAAACTGTTTTACAAAGGCCCACTGCAAAACACTTCATTCCTTACATGCTTTACTGAAGCAATAGAGGCAGTTAAACTGTATATCTGTGCTGAGCTGTTAACATACATTTTTTCAGGCTCATTATCTATGTGACTACAGGACTTGATTCAGCTCACTCGGAACTACAAAATGATCTCTTCTGGTCCCCATTGACATTGCCAGAATTCCGTGAGACAGCCCACGTCAACTCACTTAGGACAGGAGAAGAATCTTTGAACAGCACACCAGGTGCTGCAGATACTCTGAAAAACTGAAGAGCATTCAAAGTTCAGGTGCATCAATTTCTAGATGCCTAACATCTCTGGTTTTCAGCCTGATTATCTGCACTACTGTAAAACTGCCACTCCAAATGCCAATGCATCATAGTATCATACACTGTTGTAAAGTTTCAGAGAGCACAATCAGGATTAGCTCAAAACCCTAAATAATTTACTCCTATATTTGCATTAAGCTGTAAATGTAATAACTATGTTTTACGAAGCATGGTGCAAAGAAATACATTAAATGTCCAACCTATTAGAAGAATCTATGGAGAGGTAGAAGTTTCTCTCCACGGTTCGTATCAAGAGAAGAAGTTACTGCTGATTACTCAAAAAGTGAAGCATGCATGTTTTGAAACAAAGATAGTATTTTCTCATTAAACCTCAAGAAATTGATTTTTTTTTTTCCCCAGCACTGCACCTCAGAGAGATTTTGGCCACAGACTTATTTCTCCTTTGACCCTGCAGCTCATAGTACCAGTCTGTGCCACGTTAACGCAACTCCAGCTTTCAGTACCCTGTCTTTGCCTTTCTCCTATGGGCATGAACAGCAAATACCACAACAGATGTACCTCTGGAGGCATTTCATAAGCCTCATTCTCAGGATCCACAGGAATATCAGTATTATTCACCACCCCTTCCTGCAGGAAACCTTCTTCATTCTACATATAAAACAGGGAGAGAAAAAGAAAATAATAAAGTGTCAGATCAACTGCTTGCCCTCTTGTATTCCAAAGCATATCTTACCTCCCCACGTGGAGGATACTGACTATAAAGTGATGCAGAAGTAAGAGGAGGCCAAAAGGAATTTGACAGCATCAAGACATGGAAATAAAACAGTAATTCTTTTATGTATTTTATTATAGGCAGATAACTCATCCTCCTACCCCTTTATTCCATTTTACAGTTTTCACCCTTCTCATATTATTTTTCAAAGTGGCCAAACGAAGAACAACTGTAATTTATTGTATGCTTTTTCCTCCCTACAGTTTTAGTACCTAATGATATTGGGAAACATTTTTCCCTTAACGAGTCATAGTTTTAATCCTTTATTATGTTGAGTAGCACCTCACTGTATGCAGTATATTTATGACACACGACACTGCCTACCACACAACTTCTTACACGCTTCTCTAGAGATCTGTTATTGACCATTAAAGAAGGACTTCTAATGCCCCCTCCCACTCATCCCCCTTAGTTGTTAATGCTGAAGGTCACAGAGAAGAAATGAAAGTTTTACCAGAACAAAGACTGCTGGAGTTAGTCCTAGAAAATTGATATGAAAACCAGAAGATTATCTCAGTGGAACTATTTTGACTATACTGATTTATAGCAGTTGTCAATCTACACAGAAAAGTACTAGAAAAATCCTAACAAACTCAGGAAGAAATTCACTGAAAAAAACCACAGTCCTGAGGCTAGAAGTGTGGAAAGGAATACAAAATTAATTCTGTCACAAACAAGACTAATGAGGAAACTCTTCAAAATTCATAATTTATAGGACAGTTCCTCTAAACTGAATTTAGGATGTAGATGAAAAATGAACAAAAGAGCAGTTAAATTGGAAACTCACCTCTGCCAGTTTAACAGAAGATACAAAGTAATACACAAAAAAAGCGGCCTTAAAACTTCTTTACCTTAATGCACTATTTGTCATGCTCCCTTAACGATTCCTGATGACTATCTTAATTTTATGACAGATGAAGGGCATGGAGTGAGCACTACTTACTGAAGAAATATTATCTTCACTGGGAAAACTGGATTTAAGACTTTTTCTTCCCTCTGCCAAACAATTATTTGGAATGAACATGAGGGAAGACTAAATAAAAAGGTGCACGCATTGATCTACAATGTTATAACATGTAGCTCAGCACTGGAAACCACTTCCCCATGGTCCTTAACAAGTGTGGTGGTTGGGAAGAATATTCGGGATGAATTCCTAGTATATGAAGACATACAGCACATCTGAACTTAATTAACTATCTTCATTGCATTTCCTTAAGTGGACGAATTCATGAAGAGCTACAAGACCTCAAGGATACACTGAGATTGATGAAGTACACGCAAAATTTCATATTGAATTTGAAAACGCTTAGCACACGACCAAAATTTCGCTAACATTGTAACTGAATTCAATTAATTCTTTGCTCTTTTTGATACTTCCTAATCTTTATCCTTTCCCTTATAGTCTTCTTTATTAACTTCTTCATATGAACATTTTGTACATCATAGTCATAACATGTATTCAGTACTACTAAGAAGTCTACACTGTTAAAACTCTACAAACGCAGGAAAAAAGAGTTAAGTCTTGAAAACCTCAGTTTCAGACACTCAGTATCAAATACCTTTTATTTCTCACATCGCTCACACTTTAGATATAATTTTTAAATGATTACTCTTCTTTCACATTTTTATATTCTCACACAGCACTTAGCACTGACTTTCAGACTTAGTCTGCTCCCTCTTTCAGCTGGTACTCCCTTTCACCATTTCCCCTCAGGGATCAGCAGAAGTGTGAAGGCTATTTACTTCATTCCAGGCTCTCTGTGGCGTAACCAGCTGTCCTCAGTCATACTCAATTCTTAGCTTGCTATATCTCTCCATGCAGCAATAGTGACCTTTCCCACCAGAAATCCTGCTCTTCCTCAGTTTGGTCGTATCTTTTCTTTGGCACCCTTGCCTGTACGTTGACATCTTTAACCCTCATCTTCCAGGCACATTATGGGCAGATTTTATTTCTATTATGTGAATTTCTCTCACGCTCTTATTTCAGACTACTATTATAAGAGTGACCAGCATCAGTTAGCAGCTCTACTGACTGATTTACCTTTCTGAGACAAGTTACAATAGGACACGTCTGTTCTCTAGGCAAGAGAAGCACACAGTCTTCTGGTGAAATTCTCATATATACCCAAGCATAAAAAGATTTAGAACAAGTCACCAGTGTAACATGAAAGGTCCAGTAAGAAGATAAACCTTGCTCCTACATGGTATCAGGCATCATTTTTCATGTGGAGGTAAGCAAAACAGTTTGTGCAGAGCCAATGCATGGTATTCTGCCCAGCTCCCACCCCACGTGCTCACTATAAAGCATGTTTTTTTTTTTTTTGTCTGTGCTGCTATTTATCACAGACAACGTGAATAAATTCCGTAACTGAAAAGACAGAGATAAACAGAGTTGCTAATACCTTTCTTTAGCCCTGTGTTTTCCAGAATTAATTATTCTGGATGCTCAACATGACATGCAGCATTACAAGCATAAAACTATCAGAAAATAACAGGACTACTTACAGTTCTACCCTGGTTTATCAAAATGCTCAAACTCCAATTGAGCACTGAGGTTATTTGATGCGCAATATTTAATTACCATATTTTTTAAGCATATTTTCACAGTAATTCATGCCTGGTTACTTCTCTGAGAAGTAGACTCAATCCCTACAAGCTTTGACTGAAATAGCTAAATTGTGTGTGAGAGATGCAAATATTAAAGCTGCCTCATCTGACGCATTAGATCTAAGGGCCTTCAGCTCCTTTTTGCTCTCACTCTTATTCCAAAATGCCATTCAATTTCTGCTATCACCCAAGAACAGCTTCGGCTAACAATTGGTGCATCAAGTGAAAGTATGCCCCAAATTCTCCCAGCGGCTGCACAAGGAAGAATAAAATGTAGTTCAACGTTATCTGCAGCAGGAAAACACACAGCAAGTGATACTGCCAGAACTGCTAGTAATAGTAAGGCAAAAGATTTGCCAGCAGAATTTCAAAGTAGAGTTTCAATGCTCATATGCTGCTTGCTTTTAGGAACCTCTGAACCGCCCATCAGAGTTACAGAGAAACAGTGATTAAAAGAGGCAGAATTTATCTTCCCAACTTCCTTTATCGAATTCCAATGGTAAGTTCAGGATGAAGAATTACGTATGGCTTCAGATAGAAGAACCAGTAGCACTAATAAAATACAGAGATCACAACATCAGTATTTTTCAAATTCACTAACAGTACCAAACCAACAAGGGAACTCTGCCTAGTAATGGCTTGTCACCTTTGTAAGCGAAACTCTACCTCTCATCTCGATGTCACTGCAACTCAGATGAGAATGCTGTTACTAAAGGTCACATCTGCTATATTTAACTATGTAGCACACACAGGTGGCACATCAGTTTTAATGGCTGCTCTCTCTGCCTCTCATGTATTTTCTCCAAAGTTAGGACATCACAAAAATAAAAAACCTCCCCCAGTAACACAGAGCCGCTTACAGTACACCTTATATCATTACTTATTTCCTTTAAAACAAACCAATGCAATTTTGCTTTCTTGTGATCAATACTTTCATGTCTCAATCTAATTATAGAAGGGGAAAGCCACCTTACAGAACAATGTTCATCTTATTACAAAAGATTTATTTTCTTGAAGCTGCCACTTGTCCTTTTTAAACCATACAGAAAAGCAACTCTAGAGGGAAAACTTTTAGTAGAAAATGCGAAAAGCTAAACATTAAGCATCTGAGAAGTGAAATCAATTTTTAAATTGGGAATTCAAACTTTTTGCTGGCATGGTATTAAAAGAATGGTGAGGAGAATGCCTGCTTGTCCCCCTGAGGCCTCCCTGAAGAATAAGCAAGGTGCCTGTCTGTATCTTGTTTTGAAATAAAGCAGCTCTGGGAGAGACTTGTACTTCAGCATTCTCCAGTCTTCTGGAATCACGTCACTTAGGAATTCCTCCCTTGACAAAGCTTTGAGATTATCAATCTTGGAGAGCCCAAGACCTACCTGCCACCAGACAGCCTTGCCAGCCCTCATTCACTTTCTACAGGAATGAAGGGCTCTCTTCCAAAATTTGCTGTTCTCAAGCAATTTAACAACACTTTGTAAATGAACTTAACAACATAAATGTAAATGGAGAGAGCAGCACGCCATGGTAAAATTGTATATCTGCATGAACCCGAACATCAGTTCTAAACTAAACAGACACAACTGCTATACTAAAACAGTAGAAGTCAGATATGAAGTAGAACTTATTACATTATTTAGTACAATAGCGCCTAACGATTGACTCCTCCTTCATTATAGGGACAAACCCTGATAAGCAGTGTGCATGACAGTGCTAATTGACCCACATTTGCAATACAATATTAAACTAACATTAAGAAAGCCTCCCTTGCCATTTCTTTTTATAAGCCAGGGAAAAGTAAACAAAAGGGTTTCTCTTATTTCATTGCCTTTTGTTAAAATTACACCCTTCACTCACATAACACTCTTGAGCTAGAAGTAGGAAAATTGTTGAAGATTGTCTACGCTTGGAAAACAAATCAATTGGTCTGCTCATGCTCCAGCAGTTTAGGCAGCACCAGGTAGCAAAACGGTAACATTTGGTCTTCTCAGTGATGTGTCTTTGAATGCTCAGTTAGTTTCATCACAAATAAATAAAATATTTTATCTCAAGCCAGAGACAAAAGCTATATTATAAATGGAAGCAGCATAACTATAACCTAACCTGGCAGTAAATGCAAGTATTGTAATTTACTATCTCCCTGGGTTATCAGCACTTTTTTTTCCCATTATAAATCCTGAAAAAGTCTTACAATCACATATAGCCTCATAATTACTGGAGAGTAATTCCACCTGGAACGCTTCTGTATTCTGAGATAAGTAAAACAGAGAAGCTG